ATTACCTAGGCAACTCACTGAAGTATACTGGGTTTGATGTAGAGCATCTTCTTCTATAATGAGACTCAGTGTGGAGAGTTCACAAAAAACTAAAAACAGAAACTCTATTTGGCCTAGCTCTTCCCCTTCTAGTTATCATCCCCCAAAAGTTAAAGCATTGTGTTCCAGTGATACATGCATACCCGTGTTTAGAGCAGCACAATTTTTAACAGCTAAATCTTAGAAACAGTCTGTATGTCCATCAACAGATGAATGGACAAAGAAAATGTGATATTTAGTCACAGTGGAGTACTGCTTTAAGGAGGATAATTTGAGTCATTTGTAGAAAAAATGGACACATCTTGAGACTGTAATTAAGAAAAATATATCAGAAGCACAAGGTTAAACATTATATGATTTCTCTTTTAACTATGTAAACTTACTATATAAACAAAGTACAAAATAAAACAGATAATAGGAAAAAAGAGAAAAGTTATTATAATACAGCATGGACAATGTACCTAAAAGTGTACTTTGACCTAGTACAATTGTTTTACTTGTTTTATGCCTATTAGATGAGTTATAATTTGTGTATATGATAATTAACTTTTTAAAGATGTTATGAGAGCAATAATAAATCTGATGAAGACAAAATAAGAGGGGGTGTACAGAAGGGGAAAATAATTGAAATGTGTTATATCCATGTACCAATTCTCTGTAATGAATATAATCATTATGTACTGTTATGGTTGTGTTTAAATGTCCTCTCAATGGATGAGGCTTTTTCAGAAGTGGCTACATCTAGAGAGTGTGATTGATTTCTAATGCCATGCTGAGATTAAGGGTGCTGGGATTCAGGATGTGAGTACTACACCCATCCTATGGTAGGTAGCCAGTATACAATGTATGGGATGGAAGTAGCCTGTCTCTCTGTCTGTGTCTGTGTTTCTGTCTCTCACTCTATCATTACTTTTGCTGCCATGAATTGTTGCCCCTCTGTCATGTGCTGCCCTGCCTTGGAGCCAGCTAGCTGATTATGGACTGAAACCTCCTCAAATTGTGAGCTAAATAAACTTTTCCCCCTTTAATTTTGGGTATTTTGTGTCAGCAACAAGAGAAAAGTAACTAAGACATACTGAAAACACATAGTAATAAAACCAAAAATGGGGGAAGCATATTCAGATCACAGAACTCATATACATACATATATATATATATATATATATATATATATATATAGTCAAAGTAAGTATACTAACACTGTATCTGTGATTGCCTATAGCTCTTGTTATAATGGGTGATATCACACATCACTTTGCAAGTCTTGTGCAGGCTTTTGATATCTTAAAGAATTGAGCAGACAAGAGTAACAGTGAGATCAATGATTTATTTGAAAAAGAGAAAGGTGTGACAGAGATAAGATGCACAGAGTGGAAATGGCCCAATGAGAATAGCTCGGTTCATCCAGGGGGCTTGGTGTTGAGGGTTTTAAGCCTTAGCATTTGAGGTGGGATTGAAGGTTGGGTCTGTATGACTCCTGCCAATGAGCAGCTCAACTCTCCTCTCTGTTGTGCTATGGAATTTTTGACTTTTTGTGGCCCTTGGAAGAACTGTCATGACATAAAAAGTACACAAGAGGGATGTCAAATCTGCATAGTGAGTGATATGGTGATTAGGGTTAGAGTCTGAAAAAGATTGCTGATGACCACTAGAGCATGCCCAGGGGCTTACTGTGTATAAACTAAATTATCTGATCGTATTTTCCCATTATGTTTATCCCTGGGTGTACTGGTCCTAGGCTAATGCTTAAATCAGAATGTAGACTGGTCTCAGAAAGTGTTCTTCAGGCTGGGCTCTCTTTTTTTCCCAAATATTTCTTTGGTTACTGTAGCCCCCAGACCTAATCCAGAAAGTGGGCTCTAAGGTGGGCAAATGTCTTCTTTCACGAGCCGTTTCCTGCCTCAATTAAAATCATGTATTTTCTACCTTATGATTTTTCAAATATTATTCAATTAATTAGGTCGATGTGAAAATAAAGAATAAATTATTAAGAACTACTAAAACTGATAAGATTTTGATGTTGGTAGCAAAAGTAATTCTTATGTATCTCTAGCTAAAGTATCAAAGATAAATGTTCATTTATGCACACACACACACACACACACACACACACATTCACACCTGTTTCCTTCTTTTCTTCCTCCTTTGCCCAATATACCATATGTCAGGATGGGGATATGTGAGGATATAGTTTTTATCATGACATTCAAGACTCCCAGGCCTTAGTAGCATGACAGAATTCCATGCTATATTTTATACTTAACAAACCTCTGAGGTAAGTACTGTGACTTGATATGTTTGCTCTTCTTTCATCCTCTCCCATTTAGTTTATCTCATCTTTAAGATTAAGGATGTATTTTTGTTGCTTTTTATCAGATGGTGATCATTTTTATATTCTAAATTTTATCCAGCAGGAAGAAATATCCTTTTGACAAGGAAAAGGAAAAAAGTATTAACTATGCTTTTAACAATTTGAGCTTTGAAATAGCATGTACAAATTATCCTCGTTTACTTGTATGTACTAGTGATAAAAATAACACATATGACATCAGATTATCTACATATATTGTCTGTATACGTTAATCAATATATTTTATCCTCTCAGAACTCTTACAGTCTAAGTGCTAAAGTCATCTCCCATTTTACAAGTAAGAAATTAGAGGGCAGTGAAGCTAAGCAGAAGTTAGGAAGTGGCCCAGGTTCTAAGTATATATTCACACACACACACACACACACACACACACACACACACACATCCTGTCAGTCTCCTAGTAAAACTTTTTGTATGAGATTACTCCCAGGGATGAATGTGAATCCTGATTAAACTATAGGCTTTGCTTTTTGCTACTTTTATTTTGTGATGTAAGGTTAGCTATATCTTAGTGTAGCTTTAATGTTCCTCTGAGACTGTTTAAACATAATATTTTCACTGATACGAGGACTTATTATAAAGAAAAGACTCTTATTGGGAGATGCAGTATGCTATGTGCCTTCAGTATCTCTTAATGTTCTTATTAGTTATGCCAAGAATGTGATGCCCTGATCACCTTTTACACTGGCAGATCATTTTTCATTGTGTTTGTAGTAACCAGCCTTGAGGGATGGGTTAACATTTTCCCTGGACATACAGAAGGTTTGTTTCTGCTTACTCTGAATTCTGCAAGTTTCCAACACAGAGTTTCTTTCCTATAATGTAAAGCATTGCATATTCAGGCATCCATCATGGGGCCTATGCCACCTTATGAAACTCAGGCATCAAAGGAAACCAATAGAAAGCAGTATGAGTTTATGGCTACTGGTAATGGTGCAATAATGTCTGTAGCACATCATCTAGAAGTCTAGTGTATTCTTCTGGTGTTATTAAATGGTATAAGCTAGCCTCTTAACCTATAAATAGGGCAAAACCTCCAGCTCTTTACTATTTCTAACTTGTGTTTGAAGATATTATCCTTAAAGCAGTTACGATAGGGAAATGCTTCCTAACAAGATAATATTTGTCATACTGTGACATGCTTTTAATATTGTATTGGTACCTAATGTTCTTTGAACTGATTCACTTGTATTATTGCAATAACTTTTTTGAAAAGGAAAATTTATAACACTACCCTCAATCTTAACTATCATAATTTTATATAAAGTGAAAATATGTTAATACACATTTAAATAACATAGACACAATATAAAATTTTGTATACTATCTATAATCATCTCCCCCTACTACCCACACCAGGCCCTTCTTTTTAAACCTCAAGTTAACTGATTAATGCAGAGCAGTCATGACCCAGACAATGACTACAATAACCAATGTTTCTATTTAGTAAATTCTGAGATATTATACTATGAGATATATAGAAAATTCTCTTGAAACATCCCCTAAGAGAGAAAAATGGGGAAAAGGAACTCTAGTACTTTGATGTGCAATAGGGACAGGAGTCCTACTGCAGACATCTCTATCCAAGAAATCCTGGCCTGCAGTCCTGAAGAACAGAGAACTCGCTGCAGGCTGGAGCAGAGAAACCAAAGGCAGGTTCATGCTACAGAGGAGTGTAGTCTCTGTGAGCCCCTCCACATTCAAGTCAAGTGCCCCACTTCTTAGTCTCAGGGGGCTGAATTTATCCTGCTTTGTGAAACAGGCACCGTGAGCCCTTGGAATCTTTTCTCACTCCAGTTGGAATTCCAGCCCTACCAGCACCTGTCCTGCTGCTATACCCTTGAAGAATGGTCTGTAGGCATGAAAATCTCCCAAATTATAACAGAAAAACAGGGCACCCAGTGAGCATGCTTGGCACAGAATTTTCAAGTATTTCCAGCCAGGGATGTGAGTATCTTCAAACTAACTTAAGTCACCCTTTAAAATTTGTACAAGTCTAGAGGTACACGTTGAATCAGTAGGGAGGGCCTGCCATCACCAGTCGTCAGGGGAAAAAAAAAACCACTCATCTCAAACAAACAGAAGTTAGATAGATGCAATGGCATCTTTGAGTCCAGAACAACAATTTTGACTAAAGCATGTCTGTTATTCAGACTTGTGTAGTCGGGAAAAGGTTACAACTGAAAATTTCTAAGGTATATATGAAACATCATTGCCCAAGGAGCATTGAAAATTGAAGTAGGCAATCTCAATTATGTAGGAGGCATTCTGGGGATTTAGGCCACTGGAGGTTCCAAAGGAATATGCCAGGCTTCACTAGTTAAGAATTGAAGCACATCATAGCCATAAGGGCTTGAAATGTATAGGATTTGGCAAAAGAGGAAGCAACACCCAAAATACATGTTACTATCAAGAGATGGTAGATGGGAGGCTGAGTGAGCACGGACAGACTATAAAGGTGGCATTGGATTTCTTGGATTTGTGTTCAAGTACAGATGACAACTACTTTTTCCATCATTCCAAATAGCTAAAACAAATCTCTAGACAGTCTGGAACATACATGAGAAAATGTGGACCAAACCCTGTCAAGTAGCTTTCAATTATTTATTTGACCCCCACAATATTTTTGTGAGATTATGATGCTTATTCTACAGATGACAAAAGATACAGAATTCATTCTAGCTCAGTGGTTCAGTGACACTTTGAATTTCTTATTTGCTTTTAATATTAAGTAATATGTACTCCAGTACTTTCAGAAGTAAGCTACTAAATAATTTTGGTTGTCTCTTTTTTAGTTATAAAACGTTTATTATTTTTAACAGCAATAATGTATGTTCATTTTAGGAATGAGCAAGCAAACAAAAACATAAAAAAGCAGAAGGCATACCATTCACCATCTCACCATTGAGACTATACATTCTGTTTCACCCTTCACAAGATTTATATGCATATATGTTGTATACAAATATAATTTTCTTTCAAAAATGAGCAACTACTTCTAAGATTAACTGTGTAATATATTAACTAGAGTTGATTTTTTACTGTTTTTTGAAATTATTATTTCAATCCTTTTTTTATTTTGCTTTTTAAAAATAATTTTTTTAAAAAAATGACATTCACATATGATTGACTTAGTAATTTTTTCTCATTTTTTATCATATCAGGAAACTTTTTCTTTTACAAATTAGCAAAGTTCTTATAATAAAAGACAGAAAAGGAGAAAGGGGGAGGAAGGTAAGGGGATGTAGAAAGAACTGAGATATGTTATGTTCATGCACCAACTTTCCACAATGAATGTAATCATTATGTACTACAAACATAGACTAATAAAAACTTTTAAAAAGATAAAGACTTGTAGATTGGCTCAAAATACAATAAACAGTGAAATGCAGATAACTAGTAATACTTTTAAAACTACTATAACAAGCTATTAAAACTAATATAACAGGCAAATAGTAGAAAGATGAATAAAGATACACTAAGAAAATACTGATAAAAGGGAAAACTGTATCACAATGCTAATATCAAATAACACAGAAATCAAACTAAACTACATTAAGTAGGGATAAGGATGGTTTCGATTAACCTTCCAACGCATCACTATCAGTTTGTTTCTTACTCTCCTAACCTCATCAATTTCATGGACTTCTCTAAACTTATCTTCATTGCTTAAATGTCTGTTGTGTATATCTTCTTTAAATTCCTCTAGAGATTGAATCAATCTTTCTCTAAAAGTTTCTTCTGCTTTTTCCTCCTCCTCCGGTTCTTCCTCCTCTTCTGGCTTTTCCTCAGGCTTTGGTTCTTCCTCATACTTTGGCTCATTCTCATTTTCTGTTTTTTCTTCAAATTTTTGGCAGGGCTTCATCTTTTGTCTGCTTCCCTCTCTTTCCTTCTTTCTTTCTTTCCCCTTTGAATGCAATTACTTCTAGGAAGCAAGAAGGCAGTAAGTCAAAGGCCTGGTGAGTGTACAGGTGCTCTGCAGAGTTCTAAGCATTTGCCTTTTGGGATTCAGAACTCTGGTCACCAAATATTTTCCACCTGAGAAGTTCAGTCAACACTCTGGGTTTTCTTGGTCCTGGTCGTCTTACCCCTACTTTCCACTGCCTCCCCTCTGTCTAGTCCCTCCTCCAGCCTTTTCCAGACTCCCAGAACTCCCCAAGCCCTTGTTTCCCACAGATCCTAACCCAGTGCCCTTCCAGAGTGGGTTGGCTGGAGGGGAAAGGAAGTGAAAAAAGAAGAGACAGCGAGGACTCCCACGCATGACCATGTCATCTTTACAATGTCTCTCTCACTTACCTAGTACCGATCCGGGATCCGGTCAGTTTCTAACTCCTAATTTTTTTTTTTTTTTTTTTTTTTTTGCGTTGGGCGGTGCTAAGAACACAGCGGCAGACAAACCTGAGAAGGGAGAGGGTGGGGCAATGGCTTGATTAAGCTGCAGGCACTGTAGCTTTAGCCCTCTTCATTTTAGGTCCTCTTAACAGAAAGTTTCCTGTTTCCCCCCCTCCCCCCACCCCCGCCCCTTGCAGTTTTCTCCACAGTACAAGTTAGCTCGTCTTTCTTATCAGATTGGCAACGGGAAAAGATGATTATTTCTGAACTATATTTACAGAGGTTAGGTGTGGGAACAGGGTGGGTATCCGGAAAGAGGTCTGAGATTATTTTTAAACTAACACGGGGTTTCATTGTCCGCCTCTCGGGACCCCCTAGTTGCGTTCCTAAGGGTCATTAATTCCTGCCCATCTAGAGGTAGAGGGTAAAAAGGAAGGACTAACTGGACTGGGACTCCCACAAGTCTCCACCTTAGACCACTTCCGCACTAGAAATCCCCAGGCAACATTCATGCTGACACCAACCTGTAAAATTCTGATAAAAATTGACTCCTTTCACTGGTCTCGGGCACAGCCGCCTGCACCGCTGAAGAAAGCTGGTACCCACAAGGGAACAAGGACCAGACTAGTAGGATTTCTGCACACGTCGACTGTGGTCACGTGAGATCTACGTCACCAGTGAGATCAGGCCCCCAATTTCCACTCCCACCAAAAACGTAGCAGACTTGGGGTAGGTTCGCTACTCCCTCCCTGCACTCCCTGGCCTTACGCATACAGTTGCTGCTGTCAGTTTTTTCTGTAGCTGCCAACGCCAGAAAATATTTACTGTTTTCTGATACCTAGAAAGGAGATACATCTTTTTCTAGGCCTAACGAACTTTTTTTTTACTGTTTTCGAAAGATGTCTTTTCCCAGGGTGATTAACTCCTCCATTCACTGACCCTCCTCCAGCCTCCATTTCATCTGCAATCTTGTCTTTAGCTGTTGTGGACCTGAGTGGTACAGACCGCAGTTGTATAAAAAAGAACACCTTGGATCAAGAGGGAGATTTTTAAATTCAATTTAACTTTGTTCTTAGCATATATATATATATATATAACTATCTTTTTGTAGTCAGAAAAGACAAAGAAAAAATTACTTTAGTTGCATGAATTAGAGTGCTTAGAATAGTACTTGGTTTACACCAGTAGTAGATGCTTTAAAAGTACACGCTGTTATTTTAATTATATTATGATTTTATTTAGGGGGAAATGTTTAAAATGGAAGAAAATAACATTTGATTCCAGAGCGTTGTAATGTATTGCCAGATGCTGTGCTACCTGGAGAATAATCAGTTGATCCACTGTGAGGTGCATATTGTGAGTCTCAGTTTGCTCATCTGAAAGAAGATAATAATAACATACAATTCATGGAACTGATTGTTGGTAAGTAATTTTTTTCAGTGCTAAGAAGCAAACCGAGGGCCTGGTGCATGACAGGGAAATCCTCTACAATTTGGCTGTGTATTCCTTAGAGATAACATGCAAAGTATTTGGCTCACAGACAGTCTTCGACAAATGATTATTTTTCAATCTTAGTCTTTGATAAAAATGACAAATTTGAAAAGAACTGTGTGTTTTTAGATACAGTATTGAAAAAAAGATGAGAAAGCATAAAAAAAGTATTTTACATGTTTAAGTGCTGATGGTGCTTTGTGAAGGAAAAGAAAGCTCAGTGGATCTCATACAAGGGAAAAAAATCCTTAACCCTTGTCATTTTATTTCACATGATATCCATTACATTGATATATCTTTTGGGAAGCATATGTATTTGTGCACTAGAAAATTCAACATATAATTCTTTGTGTCTTCTAGACAGAACAGTGATGTGAGATGCAGAAGTTATTAGTCCCTACTGTGGTTTCAGTAAGGTTTAAATGTGGCCCCCAAGGGCTTTTGTATCAGAAGTTTGGTCACTAGTGTGATAATGTGGGAAGTGATGGAACTGTTAAGAGGTGAGGCCTACTGGGAAGTCATTAGGGTATTCCTTTAGAGGAACTGATATAATTCTCATGATACGCCCTGATTAGTATACACAGAAGAGTTGTTATGAAAGCTCAGTCCTGACTTCTGAAATGCTCTCCATTTTTTGTCTTGCCATGTGATCTAACTGTCATGCAGATAATCATGCCAAGGTGCCATTTACTGTGCTATATTGTAGCCAGAAGACTCTTGACAAAACTGTAAAAATGCCTTGCAGAACTGTGAAGATAAATAATGTACATCTTTATAAAGCACCCAACCTCAAATATTCTAGTATAGTAATAGAAAATGGTCTAGCACAGTCCCAATACCAGACTTAGAACTGACTACACAACTTCAGTAATTTATTCTCCTATTGTCTTTACCTGCTCATAGAGTTTAACAGAGACAAACATTCACAACCTTAAAAGATGCATGAGATCTATAAACCATTTGGATATACTGTCTGTGAAGACTGAAAATCTTGAATGGCAGCTGCTTTTTTTCTGGCTTCATAGACATGTTTCCAAAAACCCTTAAATTGTCCTGAAAAGGGAAATATGCTTTGCTGCTATTATTAACTTTTGTACTTCCATCAGCCCTTCAAGGAACCCTTGCTTTATTTCCATTTTATATGCAAAAAAACTAAACAGAGAATTTATGTCACATGCCCAAAGACATCACCATCTTATACCTGACCAGAGAATGCCTCTGCCCAAGGCTTAACTATTAAAGGATCAGCCTCTGACCCTGTTGATGCTGTCTTTCGCATGTAGTAGTGAACCAATTGGGCAAAATGTGCCTAGTTGGAATCTTCTTTCCTTCTAGACCACAAAATAGATACCTGGGATCTTCTATCCTGACTGTCATGGTTTGGAGGAAAGTCTCCCAAAGGTCTGGGTTATAGGCTTGTTTCCCAATTTGGCCTCGTTGGGAGATTCTGTGGATTTTTAAGAAGTAGGACTTTGTAGGAAATATTTTAATTTTATTTTATTTTTACTTTTGTTAGTATATGTTTGAAGTACATAATGATTATATTCACAGTTGGGAATTGGCATATATATAGCATATTTATTTTCCTCTCTACTGTACTCCTTTTATTTTTATCCATAAGAATTTATAAGTTAATTATAATACATTAGTCATTGGTAGGATCACAGCGAAAGGATTGTGGGAGCTTGTCCTCTTAATCTTTTTTATTACTTCTTGCCTTGTAAGTGCTTTGCTTGAATACATGCTCCTGTTGATGATTTCCACTTGTATGGGACTCTGCCAGATTTTACATGATGCTGGTCCATCATGGCGCTGACCCCTAAAACAACAATATCTCTTCTACACTAACTCCCATGCACCTCCTTCTAGTCCCCAAAAATAAACTTTCAGCTTTCCTTTTGCATGTGTGCCAAAGGTCCTCCACCCCTCCCAATACTGTCCTCTCAGGTAGTCTCCACCCCCATGCCTAAAGGTCCTCCAGGCCTCTCCTGACACAATGACCTGTCCACTCAAGTATTCTTCACTCCTATCCCAACCCCATAAAAACTACTCTCAGCTTTGTCTCCCTCCAGGGTCCTCATAGTCTCCAGCAGCTCTCCCACACTGACAATAATGGTTTTTCATGTCCGACTTTGTCTCTTAACTGCATCAAAAAAAACCTAACAATTATGTACTGCCCTCATCAAGGGCCCAAAGTGATGAAGGCACTTGATCTTGAACTGGAACCTCCAAAATGTGAGTCAAAAATAGCATTTCTTCATTATAAATTAATTACTTCAGGTACTTTATTGGAGTAGCAGAAAGCTGATTGAGGCAAGATCTTAGAATTTTATGTCAGTTATGGTTCATTAGCGGACAGATTAATGAGTAGGACAGATTTACTGAGTAGGCTTACAATGACCACCTACAGAATTGGGGTGGAAGAATGCAAACCCTAACCCTCACTGAAAAATCTGTTGTAATTATGTATTGGAAATCTGAAACATTTGCATTAGAAAGCTGAAGAGACTGCACTGGAAACCTGGATGAACTGAAGACCAAAGTTCAAAAGCAGTAACAAAGATCAGAGCTCCTCTGAAGAAGAAAAGGGAAGGCTTCCTTTCTCCTTTTATTCCGTACAGGGTATAAGCCTATTGATTGTAATCCACATCTGGGTGGGTCTTCTATCCTCAGTTTTCAGCCTATATGACAATCACCTATAGGCATATCCAGAATGTTACTAATCTTGTATGTGGTTTTTGTTGTTGTTATTTGTTGTAGTCAGGGGTTACAAAGAGAACAATTACATACAGGACACAGGATTTATATTATTATTTTATGATGGTCACCCAGAGATAAATACAAGAAAGTTCAGGAAATCTGTCCACAACACTAAAGACTTAGAAAATTCAGCCGACAGCCTGGATCACACAGTATTGTCCTGCATGAGTCCAACTGAAATCCTAGAGCCCATTATAGTGCCTCCCATGAGTCCAACTGGAGGTCTAGAGCCCACAGTGAGGACTCATGCAAGTCTGTTTTATGGATCTGCACTGGGAAGGCCCATAGATCAGTGGTGGAAGCTAGGAAATCTATGCCAGTAGGACAAAGGATCTGTGCCAGTAGGTTGAGGGTTGTACACTGAAGTCAAGAGGTGACACTCAAAATAAAGGCCAGGGATCCCCTGAAAAGTACCTATCCTCAATGATAATGAGATTCCAAGCTCCTCTGGTGGGTGATGAAAACAGGAAGCCAGTGTGACAAGTTCTCCTGGAGATTAATTAGCAAACATCTTTCCCTGCAGAGTCAGGAAGTGATGCTCAAAGTAAGGACTGGAGCTCCTCCAAAAGGAACTGCAGTCATTTTCAGTGATAATTTCCCGAGTTCCTCTGAAGAGAATGGCTGAATTCATATTGAGGACACTAGCCAAGACAAACTTCTCCAGGAAAACCAATGGCTCCAAACAACACTTTGGAGAATGTACAATGCCACAGTGGTCCTCTCCATGTCTTTTTTTATGCTGGGAACTTTCCTCAGGTGGGCTATCTACACTCAGCAAGCACCATGATGATTTAATGCAGCCAGTGTGAAGTTGACCACCAGTGTTTAATCCATAACATTGTTGTTAAGTCAAGTTCACATACCACAGTTAGTGATCACAAATATCCTGAGCATAGGACTTGTAACCTAAATCCTAAGACTTCATATGTCTTTTCTCCAGGTCTTTTTTCCTGAGAGTGGATCGCATTCCCTCTGAGTTCTCTCCAGCCAAGAGGTAGGGTGGAAGAGGTAATATAGCTAGGAAGATAATCTCTTTTCACATGAAGGCCATGCGGAGAAAGGATAAAGGGAAGGGAATATATTGGGTCCTAACCTATGTGCCAGTGGATGGAAAAGACCTAAATGAAGAGAGAGAAGGGAAAGGAATAGTCTGATGGAACTCAGGTCCTGTGCCTTTACTATTAGTTATCTTATATTGTCTTATGTTTCCCTGCTGGTAGAAGTTTTTTTTGCTTCTTAAAGGCTTCTAAGTCTATTTATGATGGCTAAGGCTGAAAGTAGGTTCAGTACTAGTTCATTACGATATGCTCTGAGCTACTTCAAGAATTTTTTTTTTACTTGTTTCTAGATTGTAGAATCTGGATAGATTTATCTTGGTGGACAGTACTTACACAATTATATACATATACAAATAATATG